CCCCTTCTTTTTTCCTTCCCCCCCCTTTTCTTGCCCGAGTTCCCTTCTGAACTGGATTTTTTTTTTTTTTTTTATTAAAATTACAGCTGTGTCCTCCATTAGAGCCCTTGTGAGAAGTCATTACCAAAACTCACACTTATTTTGGTCTCGTCCTTCCCTGCGTCTTCCTGCTGAGATGCTTTTAGCTGTTGGGAGTGGGAGGGTGGAGAAAACAGAGACAATGTGTTAGGATCACGGGGTGGGGATACGAGCAATGGCTAAGATTCTCGTAACCGCAAGTGATGCTCTGGGGACTACGCATCTAGAGGTTGGGGTCCTTCAGCTCTATGTCCACTCAGGGCATGGAGGTGAGTCAGAGCAAAGGAAGATAAAGGAGGTGCCTATAAAACTGACTGTGCATGTGCTACACATTCTGATATATATGGTATTTAGAGATATACAGGGAGGGTACGTGTGAACAGGCAAAAATGTGATTCAGGCTTGGTGTGTCTGTAGGAGTGTCTGTCTGTACACTTGCATCTCTCTATCTGTGAATGTGTTGTGTTTTCAGGAGTGTTTGCAGCAGACGCTGTCGGAGCCCTGCCCACATACTATCCCCCTGCAAGCTGACCCCAGAGGCATCCAACTACAAAGCCTGCAACTCTTTGCCTAAGGGCTTTCTCTCACCACTGGAGTCCTCTGAGCCTGTGTACTGGGGGGTTGACACCTCCAGGAGCTAGATGAGTTTAATATATATTTGTGAATATGTTAGAGGCCATTTCATGAAACATGCAAGAATGTGTGAGCATGCCCGTGCGTGCATATGAAGGTGCGTCATGTAAGTGTTCATAAGTGAACAGGTGGGCAGATACATATGTGGTTGCATGATATTTACATATACACAAGCGTAAGAATAAGAGTGTCTTAGTTTGTTCCCCCAGAAGCAGACCCTGAGACAAAGATTCAGGTGCAAGTGGTTTATTTGGTCGGCGATCCCAGGAAACATCAGGAGAGGAATGAGTGAGTCAGACAAGAGGGAAGGAAGTCAATAATGGGTATGTCATCAAGCCAGTTACCACCCTGGGCAACTGGAACTTACTCCCACTGGGCACCTGGGGGAAAGGGGGCAGGATGCTCTTCTGTTATCCTAACCGAGGAGCAAGGGAGCTGGGGTATTTACCCTCCAACTCCCGTCAGTCATTGATGGGGCGCTCCTCCAGCCTGCCTTGCTGGCCAGCAGGCTCTGTTGTCCAGAGAAAACCCTCAGCAGTGTTGCAGGGGTTGGCAGCGGGGCTGGTGGCAGGGGATGGTGCTTACCGGGCACGTGGGCGGGGACACCAACAGCGTCTGCACTCCGCCATCCCCTCCCCACCTCCCCGCCACAGGCTCCCCCCG